AAATGAAATAAATGTTCCTTTGTATTAGTAGTATAATGTTGTGATCATCCGATTAATTGTTTCAGCCCTGCGATACACAACTCAGCTCACCCATTGCTTTGTCTCATCCATCAGTAAAATGGCCAAGTTGGAGGAGCTGGAGGAGGTGGACCTAAGCGGGAACATGCTGAAGACTGTGCCCACGACCATTATGAACTGCCGGCGAATGCACACGCTCATCGCCCATTCCAACGCCATCGAGGTCTTTCCGGAGGTCATGCAGCTGATAGAGATGAAGGTAATCCTATAGCAGTAGCACATCTCTATGAGCCCTTGAGCTCATTAGTACCTGTGTTGAGTGTTGAGATCTTGCCCTCTTCTCGTCAGTGTGTGGATCTGAGCTGTAACGAACTGAGCGAGATCACCCTCCCAGAGAACCTGCCCCCCAAGCTCCAGGAGCTCGACCTGACTGGAAACCCTCGTCTCAACCTGGATCACAAGACGCTCGAGCAGCTGAAGTAAGTCTCTGTGTCTCTGCTGGACGTCTTTAGATCTGTTAGTGTGACTATACTATTACCACATTACGTCTTATATATTTAGCCTTCATGCATCTTTATGCCTCACCATAATGCTGCCTTTTTGATCTTCCTCATGTTCTGTTGTCTTCCAGTAATATTCGCTGCTTCCGTATTGATCCGCCTCCAACCTTTTCGTCGAACGAGGCATCTGGTGGGCCTGCTGTGTGGAGTCATGGTTACACAGAGGCCTCGGGCGTCAAGAACAAGTGAGTTAAAAGGAAAAAAAAAAAACCCCCACAGTCATCACACTCGACCAGCAAAGCCTCACTAATCTGAACCTCTTGAGAATGAGTGCTGTGAAAGCCCGATGACTCAAAATGATATTGTTGCAGTGGTTATTGAAATCATGAATCATGCATTGTCACACAATGATGGAGCTGTACAGTCATATAAGTGAAAGATAGAAAGCGTTGTGTTCTCAGTGTGAACAGAGCAGTTGATATATCTTTTGTTTGTCATTCTCTCTTCAGACTATGTGTCGCAGCACTTTCAGTAAACAGTTTCTGTGGAAGTCGTGAAGCTCTGTACGGTGTGTTTGATGGGGACCGGAATGTGGAAGTGCCGTACCTTTTGCAGTGCACGATGAACGACGTGCTGGCTGAAGAACTACACAAGACCAAGAGCGAGGAGGACTACATGACCAACACCTTCCTCGTCATGCAAAGGTACGCGAAGCGATGCGCTCATATATGGCTGTGTTCAAGTTTCTATAGCAAACAATAATCCTCTCTTTTTTCTTTCCCAGGAAACTCGGGACTGCGGGTCAGAAACTGGGCGGCTCGGCTGCTCTGTGTCACATCCGCCATGACCCCACCGACCCTGGCGGCTGCTTCACCCTCACGGCTGCGAACGTGGGCAAGTGCCAGGCCATTCTGTGCCGTGACGGGAAGCCACTGTCGCTGTCCCTGCTTCACAACATAGGGCTGGAGGAGGAATACCGCAGGATCCGACAGCACAGGGCTATTATCACTGAGGTAAAGATCCTTGAAGCAAACTGTGTGCCAAAGGAAATTAATGTAAGCACGATACTCATTTTTATACTTTTTCCCTATAGGACAACAAGGTGAATGGTGTGACCGATTCTACAAGAATCATGGGCTACTCCTTTCTCTACCCATCCGTCATCCCTTGTCCCCATGTGCAGACAGTCACTCTCACATCCCAGGATGAGTTCTTTATTCTGGGCAGCCGGGGCCTGTGGGATACTGTGTCTCCCACTGAGGCTGTAGAGGCTGTTCGAAACGTCCCAGATGGCCTGGCTGCGGCGAAGAAGCTGTGCACGCTGGCGCAGGGATACGGTTGCACCGACAGCCTCAGTGCTGTTGTGGTCCAGCTCAGTGTGAGTGAAGACTGCTGCTCCTGCTGCTGTTCTGAGCCTGCCCAGCCTCCTCCGAGCCCCGGCCTGGGCACTTACCCCTCATCGTCCTCTGCCATCAAGGAGCGGCCCTCGGACGGCTCCCTCCCCGTGCCCCCTTCCTCCTGCAGTGAAATCAGCAGTGAGATCAGCACCAGCGAGATGAGCAGCGAAGTGGGCTCCACAGCCTCATCTGACGAACCCCCGCAGAGCTCCTTGGTGCTGCTGCATGACCAGCCCCACCATCCACACCTCCACCTGCACCATCAGGCCCACACGCTGTCCTTACAGCACCAGCATGGCCACACGACCTCTCAGCCCTGTCAGTACCTGTTCCCTGGTTCAGAGCTGCCCTCTGCCCGCAGCTGCTGTGCCCTCCATCCTGCCTGTTTAGCAGGGTCCTTCCAGAGACAGCTATCCAGTGCCACTTTCTCCAGCGCCCTGTCAGACAATGGGCTGGACAGCGAGGATGAGGAGCCCATTGCTGGCGTTTTCTCTAATGGGAGCCGCGTGGAAGTAGAGGCAGACATCCATTGCCTCAAAGCAGAGTCCTCCACCTCGTCATCGCCCCAAACATCATTACCCTCATCCACCAGCCAAGAGCGCACCCTGCTGACTCTTCCCCCTCCACCACCCCCCCCGCCGTGCACCCCAGAGCCCCTCGACGAAGGTGTCGACATGAGCCTCGGTGACGTTGAGAATGGACTGGAGAGGGACGAGATGTGGCAGGGAGTTGGAGCAGGTGGTGGGGACGGAGGGAAGTTAGCAGCTAAGAAGAGGGTTAATGGGTCAGTGGCACGCCAGGAAAAGAGTCACAACCTCATCGAGGTGGCTGCCGACGCTCCCTCGAAGAAATCTGGCGGCTACTTCACAGCTCCAGCCCAGCCTGACCCTGACGACCAGTTCATCATCCCCCCTGAGCTGGAGGAGGAGGTGAAGGAAATCATGAAGCAGCATCAGCAGAAACAGCAAAAGCCACCTGGGACCGATCAGCCCATGGACTACTACGACACCCCCCTCTGAACAGCAGCACCAACTAAAAGCCTCATCTCCTTTCCAGCAGCAGCATGCACACGACCCAACATCAACCCAACATCAACCCAACCGCTCTCATTTCCCTCAAATGTGGGCACAAATGAAGTGAGATTCCTCGAGAGGCTGTTAAATGCACATGAAAGCCTTCCAGCTCTACACAGCCTTATCCCTGGAGAACCATGCACTGTTACTGCTCCTCCTGTTTTTACCGAAGCAACTCATAGAATACAACAAGCAAACGAGCCCTTTAATGATACTCAACCCTCCTGGTGTCCACGGTCGTGCCCTTCTCACAGACTGGAACTTTTTCTTTGTTTTTTACATGAGACAACCAGCGGAGTATGTAATCAACACTAGTCTCTTTGCAATAGCATTAGCTCACCACAGCACTTGTTAATATTGATAACAATTACATGGTTTGTTTGTTTGTTTTGTAAGAATTTACCATATCTTTCAATGTGAAAGCAGAGAAGTTGATGAAAGAACTTTTTAAAAACAGAGACACATAATCTTTTTATGATCAGTGAACTATGTCGAATGGTGCACTAGTAATACCACACTTAACTGTTGTAGATAGGGCACTTAAAATACTGTATTTCTTCAGTAAATCATGGCTCCTGGCCTGGAAAATGGCATAGAAATTTTTTGTAGAAGTTTTAAATACTAACTCCTAGGAGTTGCATACTCTTTATGGTGACTCAGTCACTTTTACTAATCTTCTCTGAGAGAAATGGTGATTTTTGTTTTGTTTATTGTTTTGTTTTTTTCCAATGATTGTAAATAAGAGAAATGTTGTATACTGATGCTTTTGAAGGAGCTGTGTACCTGTATGTCGGTGAAAGTTGTAACGGTGGGGAGGATAATGTGCGGTTCGCCAAGAGTTTGCTGTTATGGAGGTGTCACTTCCCTTTATCTTACAAAGTAGACTCACAAATATGAAACACACATACACACACACACACACACAAATGTTAATGTGCAATTGCAGTTCTGAATACCCAGCATTCCATGCTATACAACATTACTGTATCTAATAAACACTAATAGACGGATCTTTGCATGCACACTTGCATGCATGCACATTTACACACACATACACACATACACAAGCATACATGGACGCCCACAGGATAATATTAGTCCCACCTCACCTCCCTCCTACAGTAACTGTTATCACCGGCATGACTGTGTCAAGTTCAGTACTACAAACAAATATATCTACATGGAAAAGTGACAACACAAATGTTCCTGTCTTTGGTATAATAAATTTTAAATTTGTGAATATAAGTCATCACGTCTGGGACTTGTTTTTAATCATGTGTGCACTTTAAATGTGAAGTTAAGACATTGATGTGAAACTTTTTGTTTTAAAATAATTTATTCTGCACAATAATACTCTTACATATCTGTAGGTGTTTTTACATTGAATTACCAGAAGGGGGCACTCTCAGATTATGTTATTATATAGTATATGATGTTTTACCTTTGAGGCACTTGAGTTAAATCTGAATCTGAAGCCTGCTGTATAAGATACACAAATATTCAGCTGATTTATTTTATTTCAAATTTTTTTTGTTTCTGTTGTCTGTCCAAAGTTCAGTGTCTGTGATTATGGTTGTTCTGGGGCGTTCACATTTGCCATGATGAAGCTGTTGTCACCCTTGTGTCTCTTATACTTCTTCTTCACGCAGATGACGCTGACAACAGTGACCAGCAGCATGACTGCCAGTACAGACAGAGAAGAGGTCAGCGCCAGGGTGGTTTTATCCATAACGGAGCCCCTGTACTGACAAGTGTCCCCGTAGTACCACCAGTCATCACCCACCGCACACCTGGAGAACAGAGGATGAAAATCAGACTTTCAGGTATTACCAAGTGGTGGTGGTGGAAAACTGAAGCTTTTAAAAGGACTCATCTTAGATAAAGGATGGATGGAAGCTTATTTGCTTTTTGATTGTGAATATGAACCTTGGACCAGGAGATGTGGAGCTGAACTTAGACTGGAAACAATGTGTTGTTCTTCACTGCATTTTCATTTTTTACAGATTAAACAAACAGGACATAACATTATAGTAATAATCACTATTACTATTATTATAAGCTTACAAGTGAGTTTATATCTGCAAGAGCTAATATTCCAACGTCCCTTTCCAAAAATGTCATTATAATTGATAAACTTTGAAATGAGGACCATTCACCTGAAGAGAGATGGAGCGACGGAGATTTCACTTTTCGATTACCATATTTTCCTCCATATTGAAATAATTGAAATAATGTTAATTTTTGATATAGTATACATATTGTATTCTGCTCTGATCATATTTAGGGGACTAATATGAGTGTGTGAAATTTGCTACATTTTGATGGAGGTAAGGAAAGAGCCTTTGGGACCTGTCACATCCCCTCACCTGCAAGCGGCTTTGCTCTCAACCTCCACACAGACCCCGTCATTGAGACACTGCACGTTGATGCAGGCGTCAGAGGTTGCAGTGGTGTCGGTGGTGGCTGCAGTGGTGTCGGTGGTGGCTGCAGTGGTGT